AAAAAAAAAGTCAGGTAAAGAATGTTTTTACTCCTGTAGGTTTCAATTAAATGAGTTCCAGTCATTCTAAAAGTTCCTTTCTCACTGAATGTCACCTTTGTCATTAATCAAGTGATCAGATACCTGTGGGTCTGTTTCAGTGGTATTTATTCTATTGTGTTGGTCTACATGTGTACCCCTGAGCTCAAGTGACCGTATATTAATCCTTGATGCTCTATGGCAAATCTTAACAAGCAGTTATTAATTCTTTCATTATAGTTACCCTTTCTTTTTTTACTTCAGAGATTATTTCTGATCGGATTTCCTCTATGTGTTTCCGCATTTGATTCTTTACTTCAGATGCTATTAATTCAGAGATTTCTGGTTTTATTTCAGAGGTTATTTCTGATCTGAATTCCTCTATACCTTTCTGCAGTTGTGTCTTTATTTCAGACGCTATTGATTCAGACATTTCAGCTGTGTGGGTCCAATTTCTTCTGTGCTTGTGTCTTCTGCATTTATTCTGGGTGGGTTCAGGACCTGAGATTGCATTTTTTCCTTCTTTTTGTCATTTTGTATAGCTCTGTCCTCTGATCTTTGGTGTAGAGCTTTGGTGCAGTTATAACCTTAGCACCTAATGAAATTTGGGTGCAGATCTATGAAGTTTGAATTCATCCAGTTGTGCCTGGCTTGGGTCTGGCTGCTGTGCTCAGCGTCTTCCTTCTGCAGCCCTTGGAAGTGAATCTGTTGTGCCCCTCTGGCAAGATGTTCTGCTCCTGTATACCAGGCCTGGGCTGGGTCTGGAGGGGTCCAAAGAGCAGGACAGAAGAACTCACTCACAAGTGAGCCTGGGCTGTGTCTGGAGGGATCCAGCAGGCAAAAGGGAGTGCAGAAGCTCTCCCACACACCCTCTAGGCCTGGGCTTGGTCAGGGTCTGGAGGGGTCCCGAGAGTGTAGCCTCTATGGCAAATCTTGAAATTTGATCATATACAGCCTACAGAATTTTTTGGCTATTCCAGACCCTTTGCTTTTCCATACGAGTGCTCGTCAGTTTACACACACATGCACACATGCACATATACACACAGACAGATGATATACATAGGTGCATATCTGTTGGGATTATAAGCAAACAAATTCGTAAGTCAGTAAGGAGAACGTTGATATGTTTAAAATATTGAGTCATCTAGTGCAGCAAATATTTTATTTCTATGTTTAAGAGTTTTTTTAACTTCATCTCTAATTATTTATAGTCTTGTTTCTTTCATGTTATTATAAACAGTTGTTTTTCAAATTTTACCTTTAAATTGATTTTTGTTAGAATACATGACAAGTCATTTTCATGTATTGACCCTTTAATCCAGCGGTCACACTCAATACACACATACGTTAGTTGTTTAGAGATACTTGGGGATTTTCTATGTATAGGATCATTCTAAGCATTACTTTTGTCACTACCATAGATAGCCTTTTTATTTCTCCCATGGTAGACTTTCACTTTTTGGTGCTGAATTAAGACGAGGTTCATTTCTTTATTGAAGCACACTTTCTTTGACTGTTAGACAAGCAAGAATTAATCGTGGTTCACTGAACTAATTGGGCAGATCAGTATCATAGTAGTTGAATCCAGAGTATTGTAGTATTATTGACAAAAGCAAGAGTTTATTTTCTTCAGTCTAAAGCTTCGTGCCAATTTCCATGTTCTCCTTCCTAAAGCAGCTCTTGTCAGCTTTGTATTAAGTCACCAATGTATCAGTCAGCTCCTAGAAAGACTCTTTTTTGATTATTTTTCCCTTTTCTTTTCTTTAAAGGCAATACCAGTCACTTCCTCTACTGTGTTAGTAACTAGAAGTCTATTTATCCTAATCATTTCTCTAGCGACAAAATTTTTCTACTTTTTTTTCTCAGTGTCTTCTTTAGAAACACTTAGTAATTCTTTCATTATAGTTATCATTTCTTTTTTTTTTTACTTCAGAGATTATTTCTGATCTGATTTCCTCTATACCTTTCTGTAGTTGTTTCTTTACTTCAGACACTATTATTCCAGAGAGTTCAGGTGGGTGATTTCCAATTTCTCCTATGCTAGCTTCTCCTGTATTTGTTCTGGGTGGGCTCAGGGACTGAAAATGCATTTTGCTCCTTCTCTTTGTCATTTTGTATAGCACTGTCCTTTGACCTTTGGTGTAGAGCTTTGATTCAGTTATTACCTAAGCATCTACCAATATTATTTCTTAAAAGAGATGACGTGGTTAAGGCAGTTATAGTTTGTCAATTATAGTACAGCAATTAGCAACATTAATCATGGTTGGTGAGATTTAGCAATTGACAAACTTTTGTATCTAATGGGTTTATATTTTAAACCATAAGATCAAACATTATGATGGTATGGCTAAACAGATATTAAATTGGGAATATGTATTTAAAGTAGTTCCCCTAAGTTCCATCTGGTTACTTTCCCCGGATATACCTGGAATCTTCCACCCCGACTAGTTCACCCCAGTTACCTGTTGCCATCTCTCTCCCTGGAGAGAGAGAATACTCACGTAGGTCAGAGTTCAGCAGTGTGCCTCAGCTTACTGGGTCGGATCTATCAAGTTCAAGCTCATCCAGCTGGGTCTGTGTTGGGTTTGGCTGCTGTGCTTGGTTTCTTGCTGCTGGGTGCATGGCTGTGCAGTTTTCTGAGTGGTCCCAAACCAACCTTGGCACTGTGGTGTGGAGTTTCTCTTGCTAACCTTTATTTTTAAAAGTGAGCTTTGAAGACATTCATAAGTAATCAAGTGAGTAGAATTAACATCTTCAATAAACTGACCTTCGACGACAACAAAAAGAAGAAAAGAAGAAGAAGAAGAAGAAGAAGAAGAAGAAGAAGAAGAAGAAGAAGAAGAAGAAGAAGAAGAAGAAGAAGAAGAAGAAGAAGAAGAAGAAGAAGAAAGAAGAAGAAGGAAGAAGAAGAAACATCATCATCAATGCAGGAAACTTCAGATGCCTGAACTCTGAACTTCGTGAGACTAGTATCAATGTAATTAATTATAGCCACTAAAAGCCTTTCCCTATTCAGGCCAAAGGGTTTGATTAATTGGTGTATCTTCATAAAATGTTAACATTCTAATATCTTAATTTCTTTGTACAGAAATTATTCTGAGCCACGTTGATAGAATCATTTTGTAACACATTATCAGAAAGAGTCAGATAACAATAGTTTTACACTAGACTTTGGCTCAATTATGGTTTAAAAATTACTCTGAAGACTTGTGGGAGGTATGTATATATATTCCCTGGTTGGAATGCCAGCTTAATGATTCTGTGATTACTTTGTACGAAGAACTAAGGTTGAGATCTTGGGCAATTCTTGTTCTGTGCCTTGTGTAGTCAGTGCTTAGTAAATAATTTTTGACAGATTTGATGGAAGATGTCGTCTGAAGGCCAAGTAAATGTTCTTCATAAATTCAAGGGGATCCTCTTTTCTACTATGTCTTCAGAAGAACTTCTTAATGCTTTGGATTCTTTTCCTGTAAGACAAGATGATGTGTTCCTGGTTTCCTATCCAAAATCTGGTGAGTTTGTTTCAATCCATTATTAAAAATGAAGAAATGCAACAGTAGAACTGCAATAAGCATTTTTGCACATTTATTTGTCAGAATTTCCCCCTGAAATAAATGATATGACACACTTTAAAAATTTACCCTGAAGATGATTTAGTTGTAAAAAACTGAAACTTTACTAATGCCTTACTAATCAATATATTTTGTTAAAGTAATTCAAAATCCTTACAGGATGAGTCATATTGCTATGAATATTATAATTATAAATATTGAAAGCTTATTAACATTGCAATTGAAAATATTCTTCTTATTAAAACAGATGAGAAAAGTGAGAACAGTTCAAACTCTAAATATTTGTTCAACTATAAAGCTGTTAATAGTGTATCTCATTGAAATTGTAATGAGGGCCTGCTGTGCAGGCCCCACCCCCGGGGCAATTGAGATTGGGCATGGTGGCACCCACTTATAATCCCAACTCTTAGGAGGCCATAAACAGGCAGATCACTATGAGTCTGATCTAGTAGTGAGACCCTGAACACTCTGCAGAACCTTCCCTAAAATACAGGAAAAAAAAAAAATTATATTGAGGTACAGAGTAGGCCTGATTTAAACTTTTCAGGGATGTTGCTTTCAAAGCAGCAAGGCATCCTCCTCCTCATATTTATATTTCACTCTCTAAGTTACTACTTCCTACAACACCGCAGCATGCTCACTGTTTACTTCCTGTCAACATAAAGTTATACTCCAGATTCTATGGTCGCAGGTTTATAGCACCATGGCATTTGAATATAGCGCAGGTTCATTGTCTAAATACTTTGAGCAAGTATTCTGTCTCTACTCAAAATAAAAACATAATTCAGTGTTTAGCTTCAAGGGGGAAACAGAAAAACCCCTAAACACCACCCATACAATTGTACCTTGTTGTGTGTTCTTATGCATGCGGGAGCTGGGTACTACCGGGAAAGGCAGAGGGGTGAACAGTGCTCCCAGGGGATGCAGAACACAGTGCCCGAAATGCAGCTACTCGGGACGCTGAGGCAGGAGCATCCTGAATTTGAGGCCAGCCTGAGCAACTTAGAAAGAACTTATTTTAAAATAAAACAATAGGGGCTGGGGAGATAGCTCAGTAGAATAAGCACCTGCCAGACAAGCTCAAGGTCCTGAGTTTAATCCCTGGTACTGCAAAATAAATAAATAAATAAATTAATTAATTAATTAATTAATAGGCTAGGTGTACAGCTCAGTGGTACAAGTCCTAGCACGTGCAAGACCTCGAGTTCTGGCAAAACGAAAGAGAGACAGCAAAAAAGAAAAGGATAAGTGAACAAAAGAGGAAGACACATGATCTTCCAGGACAGGTGGGACTTACATATAAAAGATCTGTGTGACTTTGTGGATTGAAAGGTCTTAGACTGTGCGATAACACAGCGTATATTGCACCAAGATAACAGCATGCCACGTTCACGCCCCTTGTGCTCTCAAATGTGCTTCTGCCTGTCACATAGCAGTGCCAGTGTTCCAGCAGCTTCAGTGGGTGTGATAGTACTAGTTATAATAAAGTAAATGGGTTCATTGTTTTTATCATGTGCTGATTTTCTCCAATGCGTTGTGACAACTAATTAAAACTACATTGCATTTTGTGCTTGTGTAAAGGGACTCACTGGGTTGCGGAGATCATTGAGAACATTCCCAATGCTAGCATCGCGCTCACGTCTCCTATAGAACTGGGAGACATTTCAAAACTTGAAGAGCTAGAAATGTACTCTGAGAGAAGAGTGATCCCGACACACTTAAGCTATGACCTGCTACCTGCGAATATCAAACAGAAGCAATGCAAGGTGAGGGGCTAAGGCCATAACTGTCTTCGGGCTTCTGATTTATGTTTGTGTCAAGAAATATTTACAGAGAAGATTAGGTAGAATCTTTGGTTTTCAATTCACACATACTATCAAAGTACACTTACAACAGGCACAGGACTGGTGTTTGATCCCTGGTGTGCTGTGCCGGCCCTGCCCCTGGCGCCCGCTCAGACAGCAACTGAGAGGTGTGGTGGCGCATGCATGTAATCCCAGTACATGGGAGGCTGAAAACAGGAGGATCACTATGAGTCTGATCTGTGTAGTGAAACCCTGTACGAAATGCATTTAAAAGAAAGCATACTTACATGTATATGTAAAAATACTAGGTTAAGGATATTTTCTAGAACATGGCGTTAGAGTTGAACTTAATTTATTTTCGAGGTATATGTACAGGCAACATTTTAAATATATTTTTATTTTAAGAAGTTTAAAAAGTAAAGCCAAGACACCTGTTAGAGTTACGAGTTTCACAATAACGAAGCTGGTTCTAATCCAGCCACATTCTAAGTCTAGAATCAAAACCAACTGGCCAGTCCACCATGTGAGTACCAGAGCAGATCTTGCCGTGTTGTCACTGTGTGAGCACAGAGCTCTGTACATACTGTGTGCTCCTCCTCCTCTGTCTGCTCCTCCTGCTCCTCCTCTTTCTCCTCCTTCCTCCTCTTCTTGTTCTTCCTCCTCCTTCCTCCTGCTCCTCCTCTTCCTTCCTCCTCCTCCTTCCTCTTCCTCCTCCTCCTCCCTCCTCCTCCTGCTCCTCCTCCTCCTCCTTTCTGATGAAAGCAGAATGAAGACCAAGAGGGAGGGAGAGAGGGAGAGAAAGGCAGAGAAGTATACATGTTATATGTACACATATATAACATACATATAGAGATGAGAGAGAGAGAGAGAGAGAGAGAGAGAGAGAGAGACAGAGACAGAGACAGAGACAGAGACAGAGACAGAAAAGCAGAGAGGCAGAGAGAAAAAATGGAGTTTGATTCAATTCAGTAACACAGTGACATGAGTAACAAATGTCAGTGAAGTTGCCATACCCGATAGTGCTTCATCCACAATGACAGGTGGACTTTTGTAAGCTTGGGAAGGAAACTGCAGTTCGGAAGGGTCAGGTACTCCTTAACCTGCACCCTGGAACCACAGTCCCGAGATGCACGCCCTTCTCAGGGCGGCCTTTAATGGGCACTGTGTCGGTCTCATCACCCGAGTCTCCAGAGACAATGATGACTCACTGCTGCCACCACCGGTGACACTGAGAGCTGGACAAGCTCCTCAGTGTGATCTGCCGGGCAGTGTATCCCTCCCTCAAGCTTTCTTTACAGCTCTCAACACTTTCTAGCATTTTGAATCATCTTTTTTTGTGTTTTAAACTCACTGGCATAATATTTTTGCTTTCTAGATCTTCATATGATTTTTTTTTAATACTTGATTTTTCCTCCCAAACTATGAGTGTACCTTCCCTTTATATCCCCTAACTTCCTCCAGTGAATCTTTTGATTTCTTAGAATGCATCCTTTGGCAAAATATGAATAATTAGAGCCATTCTTTTAGCAGTAGGGCATGCAGGCATATGACTTGGGAGAGTCTCCAAAAGCCCTAACAACTCCCTACCAAACCAAGTATGTCCAACTCAGAGGCCAGGCTTCAATTTCGGCTATTGTTTCCCTTTCAGGTTAAGGCAATGGATTCTTTTTTTAATATCTGGAGTCTCACTCAGGACCTTGCACTTGCCAGGCGGGTGTTGAGTTGTGAAGCTGCACCCCAAGTCCAACGTAGTGGATTTTTATTTGTTCTCTGAGCCTTGAGCTTCTGTGAACCTGCTCAGGAAGCCTAGAGCAGTTCCCAAAGGCTTGCAGTGTTGAGGGGCACAGAGGGGATACTGGGTGGGTCAGGGTAAAGGTGATTGATTTTTCATTCCTCTACACGATGACCTTTACACATCTCTCAGTTAAAGAACACACACTGTATCTGTGGACCTGCATCACGGATGGACTATGAACTTGACACTGGAAGATAGCCATGGATTAAGAATGACTCAGAAAATATGTCCATTTGTGTGTGGGGTGGGAGGATGGGTGGTGTCGGGAACGAAACTCAGGAACTCACGCTTGCCAGACAGGCGCTGTGCTGCTGGGCCATATCTCCAGCCTAGCAAATACACGCAAATACACGCTTATCAAAATAAATACACGCTTATCAAAATAAACTGTGTCTACCTTGATCGCCAACTAAAATGCAAAAAGAACATTCTGTACTCATTAGTGAGCTGTTCAGTGTTGGGCAGAAGTGACAATATTACTTGGTCCTCCTTCTCACATTGGTTTCCTGCAGCTTCTTATATAGTTTTGTTAATTCTGTATATCCTTTATTATATTTCTTATAATATTGCATTGTTTTTTAAAATGTATTTATTTATTTATTTATTTATTTATTTATTTATTTTGGGGAGGCCAGCTCAGCCCACCAGGGGGCGGGGCTGGCTGGCATGTGGTGCTGGGGGATTGAACCGCGATCCCTGTGCTTTGCTGAGCTTGTTTAGACCACTGAGCCATCTCACCAGCCCCATAACCCTGCATTGTTAAAAGCATGTTTCATTATCCGACTATCAATTTCAAGAAGACTAGAATTACTTGTGTCATGCTCATAATTGTAATCTGGATAGGAAACACCATAAGTGCCTAGTATACAGAGGGTGCTAAGTAAATATTCATTGAATTAAATTCAATTGGCATTTCAGTGTCCATAAAATTGTGACGATATCTCAGGGTGCTCTTTGGGAGATTAAAATGTAGAAAAGAGAAAGCATAACATATCATTATTCTTAGAAATTATAGATATTTTGTAACAAACCTTACTGTACATAAATGCTTTGTGACAGATGACTAACTGAAAAGTTGCTGTGTTCCGTAAAGGAATAGAATGTTTTTCCATGTCTGCCTCTAAACCAGAGGAGCAGAACTAGCTTTTAGAATATGTGGTTGGTGTCCTGGGGCATGTACACCACCCAAAAATTTGTGAAAAATGCAAGATGTCAGTCCCCCTCCTGGACACCATGAATCAAAACTGGTATTTTAACAAGATTCCCTGATGAATATTGTACTCAGTAAGCTGTAAGAGACACTAGCTTAAGACTGACTTCATTAGCTACAGCCGCCCCCAAAACTCATGCTTTACCTAGGTAACTTTCGCTGCTGGTTTCTTTTAGAAAATGTTTTATGTTGACATTTTCATCCAAGAGTAACTGATGTTTGTTTAAACAGATTATCTACATCGTTCGAAATCCGAAAGATACAGCTGTTTCCCTGTACCACTACTACAGAGATAATCCTAATCTACCTTGCATTGAAACATGGGATGCATTTTTGGAGCTGTTCCTCAAGGGAGAAGGTGAATATAGCAATGGTTTTTGAAAATTTATAAGGTACAATGAATTCTTTCTCTAAAAATGAAAACATTTCCAAAAGTTTTAAGTGACGCCTAACTTCCTTTTCCCCAAAAAAGATACACTGAAGAGATAATTTGAAATTTCTTTTTAAGCAAATTCTTTCTCACTTTGCTTCTTCACAGTCTTTCTAATCACCTATGAGTAATTAAATAATAGTGGGTTTTTTGTTGCACTTGTTTTAATATTTTCAAAAGACATTAATTTTGCATAAGTTATGTTTTATTTCCATATACCACTAGCCATTTCAATGAAATAATTATACAGTGACTGGAATTCAGATAATAGCCTGAATCATACTTTAAATATATGAAAAAGTAAAAAAAAAAAAAAGAAAGAAAGAAAGAAAAATATAAATGGGCACACACAAACAAACAAAAAGAAATTGTGAGACAGTTGATTTCATGACAATAAATGGAAGGTCATTTATACTGAAAACACAGAGAGATACAATTTGACTGAACTGTGTCTCCCCTTGGTTGTACCACCCTGTACAACTTTTGAATTTCTTTCCCCTGACTCAGTGGTGTCTGAGTGTTTTTTACAAAATCCAAATTACTCTAAACTTTCAAACAAACACAATACAAAGGTCCTACACCAAAACCGTGTAGAACTTGAAAGAGACAGGAGTTAGAAATGCTTCCAGAGAACCCCACTTCTATTTTCCCTGCAAATTTTCAGCATTGCTGTGTTAATTTCAGGCAGGACCCACATGTGTCAGCTTCTCCTTCTGGTCTGCCTTCCTCCCTAACTGACAGCGCACTAGACTCATAATATGTAGGGAATGAAGGGTATTTTAGTGTTTGTCTGGTCCAGACACCCAATGAATGTTTGAATCGTGCATCCACCATCCCTAAGAATTATGCAGACCGAGCTTCAATACCTTAATTCAGACAACAGGGTTACCAACCTTACTGAGCAATGCCTTCCCTCTTCTGAGGTTTCTTTCCATTCTTACCCTTCACAGTGTGTCCACACAGGATAGATTCTTAGCTCCGTGCTACTCAAATATAAGCTCATTTGACCCTCACTAGAGCACCATGAGGTAGATGTTACTATCCTCATCTTACAGCTGAAGAGAAGGCAGAGTAGGAGACCAAACAACTTGGCCACAGATGCATAAGAAGAAAGGAGCAGAGTCAAGATTTCAATTCAGGCATCAACTTCAACTTCTTTCCTTTACCATTGTGTGACAATGTGTCCAGAAAAAAAAAAAAAAAAAAAATCTCTCTGGTCATTAATTCCTCTTCCACATGATAGCTTCTAAATATTTGAAGATAGCTAGCATGCCTCCTTCCACTTCAGCTCCATTTTTAGCGTAAGGAGTTTAGATACATAAATTACTTTTTCAGAACAGATCTTGAGTCTGCTTTTGCTCAGGACAAGAAATGCAGTTTATATGCGCTGTTATTAACACCATGCTTTGCGCTCTCCCAGGCTACAGGGCCCTATTTTGTGGTTGTGCAGGGTCAGCAGGCCAGCACACCCAGAGATGCTTTTAGCAGAGTCATCTCTGTGCAAGGGTCTGGGGGGATAGCTCAGTAGAATAAGCGCTTGCCTGGCAAGTGCAAGGTCCTGAGTTCAATCTCCAGTACCGCCAAAAAAAAAGCGCTCAAAAATCTTTGTGGGGCCTGCTGGTTAGCTCAGTTGTTTAAGCGCCTGCTTATGCAGATGCAGTCAGGCACAGGATATCATGGTTTGATCCCCAGCTCCACATGCCTTATCAGACTAGCCCTTAAGGCAGCCTGAGCCAGCCAAAAAACAAAACAAAACAAAACAAAACAAAAAAAGCCCTTCTCAACAGTCATCCTTGTGCTACAACATGGCCACAGAAGGCTAGAAGGCTAGTCCAGACCAGGATGAAGGGATGCTATCTGTCTTTGGTGAAGGGTCTGTCTTGCCACCCCTGCAGCCCAAGAAGTCACCACAGAGTGCTGTGCTGACAAGGGATGAGGTGAAATTAGCAACAGGTAATCCCAGCTACTTGGGAGTTGAGGTGGGAGGATCACAAGTTCAGGCCTGCATGGGCAACTCAGAGAGATTCTGTCTCAAAATAAAATTTTTAAAGGGCTGGGATGGGGCTGGGGAGATAGCTCAGAGGTCTAAGTGCCTGCCTGGCAAGCTCAAGGACCTGGGTTCGGTCCCTGGTACCATATGTGCCATACAGCCCTGAAACCAGGCATGGTGGTGCATGCCTTGTAATCCCAGCACTGGAGAGGCTGAGACAGAAGGATCACTATGAGTCTGAGCTGTGCAGCGAGACCCTGTGCCAGATAATTAATTAATTAATTAATTAAAAGGTTTGGGAGGAAGCACAATAGTATAGTGCTCTGGATTTGATCTCCTGTTCAGATTGAGGGAAGTAGGAAAGGAGAAGAGAGCAGAGGAGAGAAGAGAGAGGAGAAGAGAAACAGAAGGGTGAGAGGGAGGGAGGAAAGGCAGGCAGGCAAGGAGAGATAGGAAGAAAGGAATATTCAGGAGGGGCAGAGTATAGTTAGACAAAATATTCTCCATAGTTCTCTTCCACCTTCTTAGGTGAGTGCATGGCTACTGAGTTGCAAAGGGATTAGATCAAGAAATAGTCGGCATCTGGACCAACCCTGTAATCACCACGAAGTCACTGACTCACTAAAGGGTTTTTGAAAAATCTGTTCAGATGGGGAAATAGCATCACTTTTTCACTTTTTGTGAGATACAGATATGTGTGTGTGTGTGTGTGCGCATGCGTGTGTGCGCATGAGCACCTGTGTGTGCAATAAGTCTGTGACCTTTTTCAGGGATGTTTTTCGATGATTCTTTGAGGGGAGGGTTGTTTCTCTTGCAGTTGAGGACACAGTGGAGTAGAAAGAACAGGAGAGAGAGGGAGAGAGGAGCAGGCATTGAGTCCCGACTGTGCGGCATTTCCTATGTGACTGTGGATGAGAAGCGTAACCATTCTGAGATCGATACCCACAACACTAACTAAGGCTAATGAGATGATCTACCTGGTAGGATTATTTAAAGATCCAAACGAAGTAATGGCTGACATGAGCTGCAGAAATCTCCTAGACACAGGAGACTTAAGTAGTTTTACAGAGAGGCAGAGCTGCTGCAAGTAAGCATTCACTGTAGAGGGTATTTTATACCTGAGGCATTATGCAACCCTGCATCCATATCCAAATACAGACTGATTTATCTAGCAAAACAGTAAAGAGACACAGATAGACACTCATCATCTGACTTGCCCTTCAGGCAGTGTATAAATATACTTTTTTTTGAGTCAGGGTTTCGCTGTTTAGTTCCGGCTAGGCTGAGGTCACTATGTAGCCCAGGATGTAGGTGAATCTGCTGTGATTCTCCTGCCTCAGCCTTCCAAGTGCTGTGATTACAGGTGTGTCCCACCACACTTGGCTACTTTATATTTTCAAATTAAGCAATAAATTGTGTGCTAGTGATATCATGCCAGACTAATATTGCATAGGAAATCAATGGGAAGTTAATATCCTAGCGATTCAGCTCTTTTTTATTTTTATGTATCTCTCTTTAGTTGTGTATTAATGCTGCATGCATCCTAGGCCAGAGAGTGGTGTTTGTCTGAAGAACTAGTGTTATCTTCAGAGCACATCGTAGAAACTAAAACACTCGGTATAATTGGAACAAGGTGGAAGGTTTGCAGAAAGTATGGCACACTGGAAACAGCTGATGTGAAGAGCTGATCTATTAGGACAAGGAAGTTGGGGAGGGAACCTTGCAGCCCTTAAGGTTGTAAGAGAGATTTGCAGTGATAAAAATAAGCAGTGGCACTCAGTAAAAACAGAAGGAAAAAATGTTTTCATTCAGTACTGGAACTTTTTGCTTTTTTTTTTTTTTTTTTTTTTTTTTTTTTTTTGGTTTTCTTTTTCTTTTTTTGGCATCAAAGTGACAAAGATGTTGAAGGTATTGGTAAGGTTAAAAGAAGGAATGAGGGAAAGACAGTGAAAATAGAGAGGGATGGGCTGGGGAGATAGCTCAGTGGTCTAAGCCTGGCAAGTGCAAGGTTCTGGGTTCCAGCCCTGGTACCACATGCCATGCTGGCCCTGGAACCCTAGGTGTGCCGTGCCAGCCACTGAAACCAGGCGCAGTGACACACGCCTGTAATCCCAGTGCGGGGCAGGCTGAGACAGGAGGATTACTATGAGTCCAAGCTTCGTGGTGAAACCCTGTACCAAATAATTAATTTAAGAAAATAAAATAGAGAGGGACAAAAGTGTTCAGAATAAGGTATTGAGGGAACCATCCATTGAAGTTACTACAGCTGATGGTGAGCCTGGAGATGACACACTGGGACCTCCTCTATGTCTCCAATGACAGCAGAGGAGATGATATATTGATTTGTGACTGAGATGGGAGGGAAAGAGTGGTAGGTATAAAAGAGTCCCGCAGAAGCATGAACCCCACGTGGTGTTTGGGAGGGGAGAGATATTCTGGAAGTTTCTGGAAGCCAGAATTCTGACTCACTCCCCAGATCCAGGACACATGGGTTAAGTGAAAGTGAGCCATCTCTACTCATGAGCATGCAGGGAAAGGAGTGATTTAGGATAGCAGGAGTGCCAGCCAGGCAAAGCTGAAAGCCAGGAGGTGGTGGGATCGTTCCATAAGTGAAAGATGTGGAGAAAAACATTTACTGTAAAAGAAGTGTTTCAAATCTCTCGTTTTGAAAACTAAATTTTCTTAAGAGATAAGTCTACAAATAAGGTAAGTAGCATTTTTAATTAAACAAAACATGACCTGAAAATTCCAACCCTTTCATAAAAAGTCACTTTTCAAATATAATACTAATACACTTTCTTGTAGTATTGAGGCAGTCACAGGCAGCCACTGTCTTTAATTTATTTTGTCTGCTTCAAGATCTTTTGGAAAATAAGTTGATTTGTGAATAATAGAAAAACTGGCTTTCAAATTATGATCTTGAATATTCTTAATATTTTGTAATATTTTTATTCTTAATTTTTTTATGTATTTAGTACAAGGTCTCACTACACAGATCAGCTTTGTAGTGATCTTTCTGTTTTTCAGCCTCCCAAGAACTGGGATTACAGGCAAGTGCCACCATGCCCAGTCTTAATATTGGTCTCAGCATGCCCCAGAGGCAGGGCCAGCACAGCACACCAGGGATCAAACCCCAGTCCCTGTGTCTATCTAAGCAGGCCCTTTAATCTTCTGAGCTATCTGGCCGGCCCTCTTAATATTTTTTAACAGTGCTGAGTATTGAACACAGAGTCTCTTGCATGCTAAGCAATGTTTAAACACTTAATTCTTTCTCCAAACCTATTTCATTTCATTTCATTTCATTGCATTGCATTGCATTGCATTGCATTGCATTGCATTGCATTGCATTGCATTGCATTGCATTTCATACAAGGCCTTGCCACATTGCCCAAGTTGGTCTCCATGGATCATTCTGCCTCAGTCTCCAAGACTTCTAGGATTACAGGCATGTACCATCGTACCTGGCTTATTTCGTTTTGGAGACCAGGCCTCATGGATTACCAAGGCTGGCCTTGACTGTTTTTCCTCAGTCTCTCAAGCAGCTGTACCCAGTGCTTAAATGTATTCTGAAGGATGTTGTAATATATTTCCCACTGAAAAACCATAATGGGCAAGGTCAGATACCCCTATCCACGTGCTGTAACTCTGGGTCTCTGTCTGCTCAGGCAACTAGACATAGCAGCCCTGGATTCTCTGAAAGTCTTCAGGGCTCCACAGCCACAGCAGCTGAAGGCTGTGGTTTCATCGAGGAGGAGTAGGCTGTGGCTGATGGTGCAAGATGGCAGGCTGGTTCTTCCTCCAAGTCTGAGGCACTAATGACTACAGTCATTAGTGAATTTGCATGAGAGAAAAAAAATCAATCTATCTCCTATTAACTATTGATATCTGGGAGGAAAGGTGGCCATTCTTAGAATTAGAGTCATTTATTACTGATACAGCAATCTGGGTATTTCTAAGACAGGTATTGTGTAAATCACTGAGATTGCTGATAACTAAGGGCCACACCCAGGAAACTCTTCCAAGAGCTTATTCTGTAATCCATGAGTCCCTGGGATGGTGGGCTCATTTTGCAATGATGTCCCAGGCATGGAAATTCTTGATTTAAACATACATATAGTTAATTTCTGGCTCTTTGTTTCCTCAAAAACCAAAGTTATGGAAAAAAATGCAGTTAGTTTGGAGTTAATTATACCTCACTACATTCCACACTTTAATGCTCAAATGGCTTAATAGGTATTAGTTCAATTAATCAAAAGTTGACAGATCTGTAGGAAATCACTAGTAGAACAGGTCTTTTATACTTAGTACATACGTTAGAATTTGAATTTGCAGTAACAAGGATGCAATGGAATGATACATGTAGAGCATTTTTATTCATAATTTTCATTAGTACATGCTTGTAGTAATTAAAGATTAAATTCATCATGGGGAGTTGCTGCCTGTATAGAATGCATCTTAATTCTTTATACTTCACTTTCTCTTTTCCATCCATCTCTTGATCCTCTTCCCATTTGCAAAAGATGTGGGAGAGGACTGGGGAGATAGTTCAGTGGTCTAAGTGCCTGCCTGGCAAGGGCAAGGACCTGATTTTGATCCTTGGTACTGCATGCCTATGCTGGCCCCTGAGCTGTGTGGTGAGACCCTGTACCAAATAAATAAAGAAATGAAGAACTTTTTAAAAAAAGATCTAAGGAGAAATAAGAAATAAGGAGTTATTTCTTATCATCTACCTTTTATTTTTCTCTTTAATATTTGTGTATAATATAAAAAATATTAATTTAATATATAATGTGTATTTAATCACTATATATTTAATTAAATACTATATATATTTAATCATTATTTCCAGAGAGGCTATTTGCATAATTTATTACTTTTAAATAATCAAACATTTTTAAGATTGTCATTAAAAGCAATAATAAAGAGACCATATTAACTACTGATATATTTCTAAGACTATGGTTTTCAGTTTTGAACTAGATATGTTAATAGAATTTTAAATTTAATTTTTCTTTTAAACTAAATATATTTGACCAACATATAAACAGTAACAGCTGCCAAGAGTTTCTAAAACTTAATATAAACTTTTATGCTAAGAATCTATGATTATAGGAAAACATGGAATTTGAAAGAAATAAAAGAATAAATTTCCATCATTTTTCTATTTCTCCCGAGTGCCACAGTGATCATTACAACACAATCATGGAGAAAATGTATGAGATACAACAGAAAAATGGGGCGTGCACTTAAATCTTCACAACTTTACTAGAGCAGAAGACACTTTGCCAGTAATCACCCTCAGACTCCTCCCGCTCACTCTGAGCGCAATTGTCCCACTGTTCCTTCTGCTTTCTGGAGCAATTCTTAAGTCCTCTTTCATCAGTGTCCTTCATCTCACTGCCGTGGTGGCCTTGGTGTCTTGAGTTGATTCCAAATGTTTCCCTTTCCTCGTCATTTTGACGTGGGGAAGAGCCAGAGAGCTCCTGGGGACAAACCCAGTAAAGAAAGTAGATGAAGACACTGTAGTGCCGCTGCAAGCCTGTCTTGGTGTTGGGTGGCACTTGGCACCAGCATTCACAGGGTTTTGTTCATCATTCATCATATTTTTTATCATATTTCGTAGACACTCATGAAGCAAGATTTTCTGAAAATGATAAGAATGATGGTATAGGGCTGGTGAGATGGCTCAGTGGTCTAAAGCACCTACTTAGAACAAGCTCAGCAAAGCACAGGGACCGCGGTTCAATCCCCCAGCCCCACATGCCAGCCAGCCCCGCCCCCTGGTGGGCTGAGCTGGACACACACACATAAAATAAAAGAAAAAAAGAATGATGGTATAAGTATGTGCAAAGCAAGGGGGGGTATGTTCAAGAAATTAATGTCAATGTGTCTCTTATTATAATACAGTTTTTACTATTTATTTGTTTGTTTTGAGAGAGGTTCTTGCTAGGCTTGAGCTCCCTACCTAGCCCAGCCTGACCTTGAAATGACAATAATCTTCTTGCTTCAGCTTTTCCCAGTGCTAGGATTATAGATGTACACCACCACACCCTGCCTCTAATATTTTTTTAATGTACTTGGTTATTACAGGGTCTTCCTATGCAGCTGGGACTCATAGTGATTCTCTTGCTTTCAGCCTCTTCAGCACTGAGGTTCTAGGCAAATGCCATGCTGCTGGGGACTCTGTGGTGGCTCAGCCCACCCTGAGGGCAGTGCTGGTGTGGCATGTGGTGCTGGGTATTGAATTGCAGTCCCTGCTCTTGCCTAAGCTTGCCTCAGTAGGCACTTTAGTCCACTGAGCTATCTTGCCAGCCCTGTGTAATATATTTTTAAAAGTTGAATATTAGCAGTATTTTTTGATCACCCCTTGTGTATGTCTGTTCCTACTGCCTTTTTTCCTGATATTAAGAGAAGACATCTTAATATCTACTCTTAGATATTAAGAGTAGATATTACTCTTAATATCAGCTTGTTAAAAGATATGGTGAGCCAACTTAACAATGACATTTAGTTGAAACAGTAGTGAAATTGAACTCTTTAAAGAGCTCTCACTTGAGAGTGTAACAAGTAAGTGTCTCACTAACTACTTAGCTGAAGTGGGAAGAAACCAGCCATCATTTTTAACCGTAACAATCCATTTTTCTTCTAGTTGTGTACGGATCCTGGTTTGATCACGTTTTGAGCTGGGAAGAGCACAGAAATGATGAAAATGTTCTAATTATATTCTACGAAGAAATGAAGAAAGTAAGTGCTTAATGTTGCAACCATCCCAATTTCAATCAAATTAAGTTCAAACCGGAAATTATCATTGAATTCTGCTTTCAGATTTCAGGGAATAAGTGTGGTGCTTTGATAAGATTTATGCTCACTTTTTTTTTTTAATTTGCTTTTGGCTCAGGATTTTTCTAAAAGTTTCAAGAAGATAGCGACTTTCCTCGGAATACATGTGAATGATAGTGAAGTTAATGAGATTGCTTGGAAAACATCATTCAGTGAAATGAAAAGTCATTCAGTTAAAGAAAATGATGATGTCAGTCACACAATCTGTGCCCTCACATCGGACAGGAACCTGGTGTTCAGGAAAGGTAAGCAGGGCGGGCCTGGGGGCTTTGTCTTGGGGGCTGTGTTGGGAGGTGCAGGGGTTATCCACGTCTGCTCCGTTCTCATCTCTGCTTCGAACTGTCCACATGTTAAAACTACTTGGGAAAAAAATGTGACTGTACAAAAAGTTGTGACGGCAGGTTAAAAATATTTGGAAAAGAATTGTGAGCAGGAGGTCTGGCCCTAGCTCAGTTCTTTGGCCAGGGAGATGGCTCAGTAGAATAAGTGCTTGCCTGGCAAGCGCAAGGGCCTGAGTTCAATCCCCGGTTCCACCAAAAAAAAAAAAAAAAATTTAAAAGGCATTGTAGATATAGCTCAGTGCAGGAAAAAAAAAAAAAATTGTGAGCATAGTTCGAGGCCAGACTGGACTACATAGTAAGTTGCCATTGTGTTGTTCTTATTACTTTCTAAATATAGTACCACAACTATTTACATAGCATTTGCACTGTACTACTTTTTTTTTTTTTTTTGTATTTTAGGGAAGGGTCTACAGGGTGTTCAGGGTCTCACTACTAGATCAGACTCCTAGTGATCCTTCTGTTTACAGCCTCCGGAGAGCTGGGATTACAGGCGTGCACCACCACGCCCAGTCTCAATGGCCGTTTCAGCGTGTCCTGGGGGCGGGGCCGGCACGGCGGGTCCTGGGATCGAATGTACTACATTTTATAAGTAAGACAGAAATGATTTAAAATATATGGTAGATGTGCATGGGTTATAGGCAAGTACTGTAATACTTTATATAAGCAACTTGGGCGTCTGAGGATTTTGGTGTCTTTTTAAAAATATATATGGTACAAGGTCTTCCTGCACAGCTCTGATTCGTAGCTATCTTCCTGTTTTCATCCTCCCCAGGGCTGGGATTACAGGCATGCACCACCATGCCTGGACTTGGTCGCTGATTCAGCGCGCCCAGGGATGGGGCTGGCGAGGCATGTGGTACCTGGAGATCAAACCCTAGTTCCTTGTGCGTGCTCAAGCACGTACTTAATCCGCTGAGCTATCTCTCCAGCCCTTTTGGTGTCTTTTGGATAAGGAGGGTCCTATAACTGGTTGCCCATGGAGACATAAACCTTACTACAGTTTCATTTTTATTCAGACAGAGTCCTTATGCCTTGCACAGCAATTGTATATTTTCACCCCTTAGTGGATGTGTATTAAATGAAATCTTGACTTCCTTCTTTCCAAAATTGAGACTTCCATGCCTGATTAGAGTCAATTCAGAGACTGACACGGAACAAATGGAAATGAACAAATGGAAATAATAACGCTGCTTGATGAATGTGCCTCAGGTCTGCAGCTTTGTGCATTTGCTACCAATTTACCCTGAATTATGCAAACATATGCACTTAGTCACAGCCAATCAAGTGCTGTCCTCTCCCCCAATGGGAAGGCCACAGGAGCAGGGGTGGGGGCTGGGCACATTGTAATTCTTTTCAGGAGAGAGAAAGGAGCTGGTGAGCAGGGAGGTCCTTTTCCCCAACATGCCCCACCTGCCAGCTCACCTCTGCAAGCAGCAAGAGTGGGGAGAAAGGTTAGGCTTGTTCCCCAAGGATGTCTTCAGCTAGGAAACACAGAGAGAAGAAAATAAATCTTTCACACTAATTCTTCATGGGGCTTCATGTAGCTATAGAATTGTTCTGAAGTTTGTGTAAATTTTTACCCAGATGCGGGAGGAAAACTTTCTGTAACTCATGAGGCTAAATGCTCTGTATTTATGTACTCAGATCACTCACCAGAAAACAAACCCTTCTTTGGCCCCCTTGAATATAATTCCACTTAAACATTTGCCAGTTCATATAAAACAGATACTGTCCTAACTTTGTAAATTATTTTCCATTTCAGTAATTCATTTTGTATTTCCTTATACTTGTAGAACTAGGGCTAGGAAGCCAGCGAGAATTCAATTCAATAAACACTTACCAGTAGACTATTATTTCTAGGAACTATACTGAAACATTGAAGCACAGCTTTTTCCTTCACAAGATTGCAATCTAGAGAGTCCTAAGAGGTGCTAACTGCAGTACTCATGCCAGGAGCAAATGTGAATAGGAACATAGATAGATCGAGAGACTTTTTCCCCTCAGCACATAAGGGCGACGAAATACGTCAGATCTGGGGCCAACAGCTCAAGAAATACATTGCCATGACAATGCTAGGAAAGCAATGGATTCCAACAAAAGCAAGATCTGGGAGGAAAAGTTCAGCTCTCCATGGAATTGGGTAGTACAAGAAGCAACTGGTCTCATGTGGAGAGTAGTATATGTGTGAAGCGAAGCGAGGGAGAGAAATATTGGTGCTGGGGAGGAATCACTTTGATGGACTTTGTGAGAAGTGCTGTTTTGTTTTTCTTGCCTGTTATTTTAAGAAGGGACTAGAAAGGCTCAGACATATGAGCTGGAAAATACTGCAGTCAGGATGGTAAATGGATCAGAAGAGGGTAAACGTGGGCCAGGAAGGCCGGGGAGAGATGGTTATAATTGTTCGAGTAAGGAACTCCGAGGGTCGCGATGGGGAAAGTGGTTGGTGGAGGGGTCACTGTTGGGGGAAGCTCAGCTGAAAAGTGTGCCTGGAGGCAACCTGCGTGATATAGAACAGGAAAGGTGGTGGGAGCGGCCATCAGGGCAAGGGCAGGAGCTGGAGCCCGGGAGATGCTACGTGGCACCTTGGGCCATGAAACCACCCAAGGAAAGCCAAGCAAAGAAACTAGGCAGAATTATGAGGAAAGGCAGGACCAAAAATGGGGAAGTGCTTATCACACACGAGGTCTGAGAGCACAGGCTCCACAGAACTGGGCAGGAAGCCCCATGGGTTGACCAGATGGAGGTAAAGGCAGGTCACAGCAGCAAGGGCCACCCCTCCAAGGGGGTTGGTGTCAAGGATAGGAGCACGATGCTGTGGGAGCTTCCAGGCCAGGGTGGCGAGCGGTGATACAGGGCGGCCAGAGGAACCTGGAAAAGACAAGTACAAAGAAATTACAACAACCACAGGAGAGAAACAGCAGCAGACAGAGAGGAACCAAGGTGAGGAGGAGAGGGAGCAATGAGGAGGCGCCGATGCATGCCGGAGCCCAGGATTTTATCACTGCCCTTTGAGACTATGATTAGTAAAGCAATCGATATTCTCACTTCCATAACTACGCACTTGTGGAATGTTACCGGTGGAAATGGAGATAGCCTCTGACCTGTCCTACTAGCAACCTGGCAAATGTCCTCAGATGAAATTATATCAACGGCATTATAACCTCAACATTAACTCTAATGTGTTTAAGTTGTATGTAACAGCGTGCTGGATCTAAACACAGATCAACAGTGCAAACATTTTCACTGCCTTTAGTTCCCAGAACTCTATGAGGAATTAAACACAAGAAGGGATCTATAGAGTTTATTTATTTCACTCTTTTTTTTTTTTTTTTTTTTTTTTTTTTTTTTGTATTTTTGGGAAAGGTCTACAGGGTGTTCAGGGTCTCACTACTACATCGGAATCATAGTGATCCACCTGTTTACAGCCTCCCAAGAGGTGGGATTACGGGAGCAAGCCACCACGCTCTGTCTCATCTCAGTGTGTCCCAGGGGTGGAGCTGGCACTGTAGGCCCGGGGATCGAGCCCCCCAGCCCCTGAGCCTGCTTGCAGGTGATTTAATTCACTGAGCTATTTGGCTGGCCCTTATTTCACTCATTTTTGGGGAGAGATGGGATCAGAGTCTGGGAGTCACTCTGAAAGTAATCATTTCAATTTTTTAAATTTTATTTATGTGTGTGTGTACGTGCGTGTGTGTATGACCAGCTCAGCACACCAGGGGGCGGGGCTGGCTGGCATGTGGTGCTGAGGGATTGAACCTCGGTCCCTGTGCTTTGCTAAGCTTGTTCTAAGTAGGTGCTTTAGACCACTGAGCCATCTCACCAGCCCCTAAAAGTAATCATTTCAGATAAACCACTAAAGTTGTCTCTTCAGACTTTTTGGTAAAGGTGAATTCTTCACTTCATAGAGGTGAATCTGTGCCTGTGTTTTTTTCTTTTTTTCTTTTTTCTTTTTTTTTTTTTTTTGCGGAACCGGGGATTGAACTCAGGCCCTTGCGCTTGCCAGGGAAGTGCTTATTCCACTGAGCCATCTCCCTGGCCCCCCCCTTTTTTTTTTTGTTTTTTGTTTTTTGTTTTTTTGTTTTGTTTTGTTTTTTTCATTGTGTTGCCAGAATTACAGCTATTGGTTTAGAAAGTGACTATGGTAACCATGTAGAGAAGATGACAGGAAATAACACAAGTGTGAAAAGTCTAAGTCCATACTAAAAGTTATGGGGGAAGTATGGAAGTGTGAAAAGACATATGGACAGATCGCATGCTATAATATTGTTCATAACAATAAAAACCCAGAATGGACTTCAGTGACTCCTCAGCAGAAGCCAGATCACATCTGCTCAGACACTTACTACAGAGGTGTGGAAATGATAGGCAATTATGTAACAATAGCTAGCTAGCATGTATTGAGTGCTTAGTCTGGGAGAGTTGTGTCACATGGCTATTCTTGCCTGAACTTGACCGTAGGGGCCATCATGGTCTCTGTACTATCCCCATTTTACAGAGACATCAAGGGTCTAATGAGCTTTCAAATTCATATAAGTAAAAGAGAATAGAGTTGAGATTTAAATTCAATACATCAAATTTATTTGAGCTTTCTGTCTTTCTTTTTAAACTAAAGGCTTATGAATTTTGTTTATCTTTTCAGAAACCCAACTCTTACTTTGGCTGAGGCTTTCTACTGTTTCTCTATTTCATTGATTTCTGCTCCAATCTTTATTATTTCTTGTTCTAACTTCACACTTGGTGGGGTTTTTTTTTTTCTAGTTTGTTGAAGTAAAAAGTTGTGATTTATTTGAGATGCTTCCATTTTAATGTAATTATTTGTCACCATAAATTACCCTGTTTAGCACTGTTTTGGCTAGATCCCATAAGTTTTGCATATGTAGTTTTTTTTGTCTCAGTGTATTTTCCAATTTCCCTTTAATTTTTTTTTCTTTTTTTTTGGGGGGTGGTAGGAAGGATTGAACTCAGGACTTTGTGCTTGCCAGGCAAACACTTATTCTACTGAGCTATCTTCCTGGCCCCTTCCCTTTAATTTCTTCCTTGAGCTGTTAGTCATACATCTTCTCTTGAACTCTTAAGCTTTACTGTTTGTGTCTACATAGTACCTTGGCAATGTATGATATGGGAAAAAAGCAGGTGATGATTTTGTGATGTTTTTAAAAACATAGTTTACATGGCTGTATTTGCTCACAAAGAAAAACACCTGGGGAAATGTATGACAAAAGATCTATTATCCTCATTAGCTGAGTCTATTTCTTTGATTTGTTTATCTTCTCTATTTATATGTATTTTCTATAACCTATAGGTATGATGGCTATATCATTTTAAATTCTACATTTTAAAAGAAAAAGGGAAAAGAACCCAGAGAGCAAACCAGAAACTAAAAACACCACCAGCCAACAAAATCAGGGGAAGTCATAGATGGTGTCAGTAGTTCAAGTGAACTGTTACAGAAGCTAGAGGGGAGAACAAGGAAAGACCAAAGAAAAGTGTTCAGGAGCAATAATATTGCTATGGGCCTCGCACGTTGACCTTGTGAAGCTGGCCTTGTGTTCAAATTGGTGTGCTTCAGAGGCCACGCCGTTTTCTGACTCAGATCTCCTCCAGGTACTGGACTCTCCATTCCTCCCTTCCGCCCCCTCAAACAGAACTAGTCCTTTTTGCTCTTCTTGAATTAACTCATTTGGATCAGATCTTGGAAACATCAAAACTTCCTTGCTTGCAATATATTTCTTTACAGTGTCTGACAGTTAAGTACAACACAGGTACTTATTGAGCACCCATGGGAAGCTGCTCAGTAATCAACTGGCAACTGTAGCTCTGCAAACAATGAATACATCGCAGTCCCTAACTAGGAAGAGGTTAGAAGTTAGCTGGAAAGAGAAGATGTTGGAAGATGATGTGTCATAGATTGAAATCTCAGCATGAAATGATGTATCACTGGCTCCAGTACCTGGAGACATATAGGGCTGAAGTTTGAGGCCCTAACTGGCCAAAAAGGGGTAGGCAAGATCCACAGTTGGGGTTTGGAAGGTGGGCATACTGGAGCAGAAAAGGATAGTTCTGAAGGGTTGACCATGTAGCCAAGAATAAGAAAAGTGATTCATATGCTAGGAGAGGCTGGTGCACTGTGAGAGGTATATATTTTGTCACCAAGCACCTTACATTGAAACCTGGTGTTTTTGTTTCCAATTCTCCATTAGTAACCTTGTAAAATACATTTCCTTTAAGTCTGACTAGTTACTCACCTCTGTGGCATGCTTTCAACACAGTTTCTGTTGTGTAGGTGCCCAAGTATAGAAATAAATGAAATATCACTATGTTTACATTAATTTATGATTTTATTATATTTGGATTAGAATTTGCTTTGCCTGCTGTAGTAAAATCTGTGAGGTTTACATATTTTTATTATAGAGCTGACAGAATTCTTTTGTGAATACTACAGAATTTATGAATTGGTTCTTATCTGATATATTTGTAATTTTTCTAGGAGTGGTGGGCGATTGGATAAACCACTTTACCCCCAAGCAGAAGAGAGCATTTGATGAACTATTCACTGAGAAAATGAACCAGAGCGAACTGGCAAGACACTTGAAGGAAATCTCTTAATACAAATGGGAAATGAAAGCCATTTTCATTTTCTACCATGCAAAACTTGGAGAATATGTAAATATTTTTCACCCACATGGAAAGCAGATAGTGTATTTCTTTCAATGAGAAATAGATAGTTCATAGATGTGTCAAAAGTGTATAAGAGATTAGCATTATCATATTTGGTGATAGTAGAAAATTAGAAGTAGAGAAGAAATACACACGTTTTGAATGGCTGAATTATATATCTGTTTGCAGGGTATACAGCAAGACACAGGAGATTATATGTATTGAGAATGACCATGTTACTGTAGGTGTTGCATAAGATGCATTAATGTACAACAGAAGAGGTGAGAGATTACCTAAAATTACAAATGTCTTAGAAGAATTTGTTTCCCATCTGTTTGAATAACTATGACCTCTGGACCAACAATTTTATCTCAGTGTTTCCTGATATCTGTGTAGAGATAGTCTCAATGTCATTAGCAATAATGAATCTAACCTTACTAAAGTGAAAACACCTAGTAGATGTATAAAATGACCACATCACAGTGTATTGGTAAAAATTAAAAGTAAAAAAATACTCTTTCACAATGACGTGGGTCTGGCATTCCAGTATTTACATGATCTTACTTCAGTTAAAGTTCAATTTTCCTATCTTCCGATATTAAATTTCAATTTCCCTGTCTTCCGATATTAAAGTTCAATTGCCTTGAAATGCTTATGACTCTTTTAGTATTTTTCATACACATACTTCCCTCAAGAATCATCTGCAGCAGTAATTCAATCTTTATAATTTTCTCCCTTCTATAATGAGTCTTATTCTACAGCTTTAATGTAGAGAACACTGTTATGAAATTTCAGTGAACTTATTAAAAGATTATGTGTTATCTGTTGACAAGTACACAAATCATGTTATATTGTTTGTCTTGTTATAATATCTGACTCAGAGCTTAAAGGCAAATCAATGCTGTATGTTTGAGCTCTGCTCCCAAGGCAGTGAGTCAAGTTATTTAATCCAACCAAACACTTTTATTTCATATGTAGGTGTATTGTGAATCTATATAAATGTTTATTACAAATTACAAATGCAAATTTTTAGTGATATTTCTCAAGTCTTTGTATAAGTGTATAACAATTCAACAAGAAATTAGATCTTTGTGACTCTTCTGTATGCTCATATTTGTTACAAATAAAACATTCCTTTTGACTTCATGCAGTTTTTCTTCAAACTGAAGGTCTTGGAGGGTTTTTATATAAATTTAAATTTTTACTTTTTATTTTATGAAAAATATAACAAAATAAGAGAATAACAATAGTTAATACCCTATACATCATTATCTTAAAAGTAGAGTACAAGACATAAATCAGAAAGATTACTACGGAAAAGAAATAAAAAGATAATAACACAAAATTTTCTTTTCAATAAACTAAGATGAACCAGTGACACAAGTGAAACAGATTAGCATATATATTAAAATATTTTTGAAACAATGAAATAAGTAATTCAGGGAAGCATTTGAACTGCTTCTGACTCCCTATTTGTTTCTCTTCTATTTTGCTCTGTTTAGAGATTTATTACCCTTTTCCCTTCCTCCAAGAAATGAGACTACTGAATAACAAAAACAATCAAGTGTGATCATAATTGTCTTTATCTAAAGGCTGTGGAACAGAAGTCACACCAAATGTTGGTGGCCAGATAATGACAAAGCTATCAGAGCACAGTAAAGGAAACTTGATAAGGCTGGTGGAGAAAGTAAACAGTAATTGTAAAATGGGAGGACCCAGCCCTGAGACAGTTTGTTTTCTCAGGATGTTCAAATGACAACTGAAATCAAGAGAATGGGACTGTTGGGTGACATTATAGTGAAAATACTCTTCCAGGGAAGAAATAAAAATGAATAGACAATGAACACTAGATGATGCATTAATCAATTCAGTATCTGAGAGTATAATTATTTAGCTATGAAGGCTTAAGTAAAATGATGCAGGGGCTGGAGGTACTGGGAGAGACTTCTGCTTTGGCCAGCATGCTGTTGGAAGTTGGATATAAAAATACCTCTTGTGAATACTGTGATTCTCCTGAGGGCCTGTTGTGAGGTTCAGGAAGGTGCAGAGATGGGGCAGCATGAGGCGAGATGAAGGATGAGCAGATAGCGCAGAAATGAGTCTCTATGATGAATGGCCTGAGAATATTGGACTTCTCAGGTAGTGGCTGAGGGAACTGGGAAATAAATCAAGATGGATTTATCCTGCCAGTCAGAGCACGCAAACAGCTCAATAGTCTAAATCACGTTTGAGGAAAACAAGCCTTCACCATTCCTTCTTAGTTTTCATGAAAATATTTGCACAACTAATTTTACCTTATTTTTTATTAATTTTATTGAGAAACACATAGCAATGAGACAGTTTCAAAACATTAGTGGGACAGTTGCAATAATTAATACATTGCGCATTGTTGTCTTTGTAGTGGTTATTCATAGTACAAGATGCAAACATGATATCCTGTCCAAACAGTATTAGTACAAATCTTTCTTCTCATTGAATTAAGAGAAAGTAGTTGTATATCTAGCCTAACTATTTTGTATATACATAAACAAAATAGTCCTTCATTTGTATCTCCTTTTATTGTTTAGTTTTGTCAGAGATGGGTTTTCCATTGCCATTTAAATATTGTAGGTGCGTGAATTCAGCAAAACAATCCAATATAGTCCAGTAGTACACAATAGTAGTGGGTTATCCATAGGACTGGCAATGTCAGAAGTTGTTGACTTGAGCCTTTTACAGCTCAGCATATTAATATGGCTTTACTTTTTTTTAACTCATTTTTATACTTTTCTGCTGGATGGCTAAGACCAAGATAAAGCAAGAACTATATAACAAGAAATGTAACTTTTGTATCTGCCAAGTTCAGTCGGATCCCCTTAGGATTTACCCTGAAACCCTGTACTACAGTCTGTAGGTCCTTTGTCAGTGTCAGCCATGTGGATGAATCACAACATTCACAGCCATTGCTTGACCAATTTGCTCTCTTCGAAAGCCTGAGAGAATGTTTTTGCACAACTAATTTTAAAATTCCCTTCCTGATAAGTGTTTCTAAGATGAAGGTTTATTTATTTATTTATTTTTAATTTTTTTTTCAA